CCCCGCATGTCCCGAGCGTCCCCCCGTGTCCGCGTCCCCCCCCGTGACCGCCCCTCCGTGTCCCCCTCCCGCGGCGGTACCTGGGCGCGGCAGCACACGGGAGGGGTGTGCGGGGGGACACGGGTGGGGACAGCCCAACCCGCCCTGGGCACACGGGGCGAGCGTGACCCCAGGGCTGCCGGCTCTGCCCGGCCTGAGCCCCCAGCGCGGCGCTTCTGGCCCTAAGGGAAGGTCAGCACGGAGCCCCCCAGCGAGGCCGCTCTGCCAGCCCCTGCCAGCCGGGGCCCGCAGGAGTGACCGTGCTGAGCAGCGGCCACCACCACGGCGGTGGCAGGGGGCTGCAGCGGCCCACGCTCAGCATCCTGCGTGTGCCGCACGCCCACCGGCACCCAGCACCCCAGGGCACGAGCACCAGCTCTGCCCTCCCCTCTCTGGAGCAGGGTGGCTGCTCTAAGTCCCCACACCTGAGCTCTGGGGTGGGTTTATAGAGCCCCAGCACCCACGGGGGCCTGCGAGCACCCCAGTGGGAGGATCATGGGCTCTGCAGCTGGGCCCCTTTACCCACTGGAGATGACTTTTCCCTGCTGCAGGCTTCAGAGGGAGCCCAAGCCTCGTGCCAGGAGGATGCTCAAGTCCTCGGCACCCATGGGTGCAGCACCCATCCCTTGGGTTGGGCTGGAGCCCTGTAGTGGCAGCATTTTCCCCCCAGAAAGGACAAAAACTTCAACCTGCCCCACTCTGCTCCAGACAACAACCTGTGCTCTTGCACCCATAATTCAGGAGGAGACGGGAACATGCCTGGAGCTCCAGCACATTAATTATGAACCACCCCATTCACCTGGGCCCTGGCTCTGCCTCCACCTTGCCAGGTAGCACAGAAGTAGCGCCAGCAGCTGCAGCTATTTCTGCCAGCCTAAAATTAGCTCCATGGAAAGAGCCATCGGTTCCTTGTGTCCTGCCCCAGGGCATGGAGGGGTGCTGCATCCCCAGGGACAGCCCCATCCCTCCATCAGCCAGCCCCAACCCTGGGGAAAGCAACAGGGCAGCATCTTCAAGCACAGGGGCTGCAAGGACTCTGAGACACATGCAGGGTCAGGATTTGGCCCTGGGAATTTATTGCACAGGGAGGAGAGGGAGAGTGTCGCACCCGCCTGTGCAGCCGTGTGCAGGGCCAATATCCCCGGGTGCCACCCAGACACTGTCCCCCAGTTCCCTCCCCACTAAGCCCGCACCCCCATGCCAAGCACCCTGCCCCAGCAACGCCAAAGGGACACAGAGCCAAAGAGGCAGCAACCCACAGCCACCAGCGAGGACCTCGGCTTTATTCCAGTCCCTCCAGCATCCCCTCCTGGTGGCCCCCACCACCTGGCTACAGGGGCTTCGCAGGGGAGGCTCCGGGCTTACAGAGATTCACCTCTGCAGAGATCCAGGTATGCAAAATCTTCACCCAGCTGAGGTCTCGACGTGCATTTTTTTGGGTTGTTTTTTTCCCATTTACCCACGAACCAGATGTGTTGCTTTCCCATCACCATTGCAGCAGGGCGATGCTTGTGTGGAGACTGGTGAAAGGCTGGGCCAGACTCTACAGGGTTGGTGAGAAGGGGCCAAGCAGGGCTAGCAGGAGCAGGGGGGAGAGGAGCTGGCAGCGGTCCCTGCACGGGGACCCGCCGCTGGCCGTGGCCGCCCTGGAGGCGAAGACCTTCCGGCTGCGGAGGGGCTGCGGCGGGCGGAAGTTGTTAGTCACGGCGGCAGGGAAGTGGAGGGTGCTGACGAACGCCTGCAGCTGCTCAGGAGGAGAGGCAGGGGTGGGCAGCTGCTTTGCTGGGCATCCCGAGCCCCCACCCACTTGTGAGCCCCCTTTTGTGCTGCCCCACAGCTGATGGCACAAAACCCACAGCATGGCCCCATCTGACAGGTGTCCTCCTGACACCCCTCACTGCTCTCCTGGAACCAGACCTGGAGGGTAAGTACCTGAGCCAGGGCCTTGCAAGGATCAGCTCTTGAGTTTTAAAGGAGCTAATGGTGTTTCACTGCCTGTGCTGAGCACTTCAAGAGTGGCTGGCCCATGACACCCCCAAGGAAATACGTCTACTAAGATGCTTGGGCAGCAGAGGAGAAATCCATCCATCCATCCATCCATCCATCCATCCATCCATCCATCCATCCATCCATCCATCCATCCATATCCATCCATCCATCCATCTCCTTGGAGCCTCTTTCGAGCTCCAATGGGTTTGCTCCCATTTTGCTTTCTCAACACTGGGGCTGGGTGAGAGAGCACTACAAATGGGATTTCTCTTCACTGGCAGGTGGCCATAGCTCCATTATTTACCCCTCATAAAACTAATTAATTGCCAGGAGCATTATTACAGAGATGACTTTCCCTGTGCTCTTGCTTACAGGTCAGGAAGGTCAAGGAGAGGGGCCACCCTGGGGTTTTGGGTGCCGGAGAGTGGGGCTGTGCATGCTAGTACCTGCTCCCGGCCGATCTCCACCGGCTCCTCAAAGACAGTCCAGACGACGACCTCGCTGCAGTCGGGGGTGGTGAGGGAGCCCTGGTAGCGGTAGTACCCAGAGAGCCGGCTGGTGCGTGGCAGCAGGGTGCTCAGGCGGAAGGTGGAAGCCAAATCCACAGCATCCCCTGCGTGGAGAGACGTGGGCACTCAGCCCATCCCGTGGGGGGACAGCAGGGCCACCCCCATCAGTCTCCCTTCAGCCATATGGCTCCATGGACCAGCAGGTCCCCCCAAACACACTCACCGGGGCGCACCCCTGGCTCCCCTCACTGGGGTCTCTCCCCTTTCCCCCCCACCCCAGCGAGGAGGTGACTCACCAGTGTGGGAGACATTCCTCAGTCCTGCCACGATGGTGTTGTAGTTGGTGTTTGGGGTTTCAGAGACCTGCACAGGGGGAGAGTACGGGGCTGGTGCAAGGCAGAGCCGGGTGATCCAGCACCACCGAGCATCCGCAGACAGAGCCGGCCCCAGCCCCACGTCACCACAGAGGGGATGGATGAGCTCCCAGCTGGCACCCCCTTTGCACAAAGCCAGCAGGGGGGTCATGGCAACTTTCACCAGTGAGGTTCTCCAACACCTCCTGCTCCTTCTCGCTCCCTCAGGGCAGCTGTACAATGCTCCCCCAGCCACACCACAAGCAGCCTGTTCCCGGGGGGCCCCCTCCCACCAGCACCATGAGCCCCTGCAGACCCACCTGGAAGAAGAAGCCGAGGACAGCCAGCCCGTTGGGATGCCCCTTAGCCTCTGCCAGCGTCCGATACTTGACATTGATGTGGACGATGTGCAGCTGGGGAAAGCACACAGGGACCAAGCATGGGCAACTGCCCCTGGCCAACCCCTGGCAGCAGGGATCTCACCCACAGATCTCCTCGGTCAGCCTGGGACAGGCAGACACTGAATGTCTGAGAAAAGCCCTCCCGGTCCCATGGGCACTTCCGCAGGGCGGCCCCTTGGAGGATCAGAGCACCCCAATGAAGCGAGCATCCTTTGAAGGGGGTGGGGAAGGAGGGGGCCATCAATCCCAGAGTGCTCACCAGCCGCAATACATAAATTTTGCCCTCCTTTGGCAGGTAATTAATATTTCAGAGGCACAGAGACTCCAGAAGGATCCTGACGCTCTTGGCACACCATGCTCCTACACGCTCTTGCTTGCATTCACCGACCCAGCGTGCGGTCCTAGTGGTGTGCAGAGACCTCCACACCCCACTGAGTGCCTCTCATGAGGCAGCTTGGCCCACGCATGGTAAAGAAAAGCCTTGAGTCTCATGTCAGCTGCTTGTTAACCACCCAGTTACCCTGCGCAGTAGCTGTCCATTATCCCACCATCAGTGCAAGTCTGTGGTGACAGGGAGAATGGCTGAACCCGTCAGTGCAGCGTTACAGAGCCTGGTTTCCCCACTGCATGGCAGCCTTGGGACACACCAGCATCACACCTTGCTGTCACACCAAGGACCTGGGCCACCCAGAGAGCATAATGGGTGCTTTTTCTCACCTACCTCCATGGGGAGCTGGTGCCCATCGAGGGTGTGCTCAGAGCCGTTCCTGACTGGGCTGCCCCAGTGGAAGTGGAGCTGCAGCGCGCGGTACCTGCCGGGGAGGCCCCCGCCACTGATGGTGATGTGCTCAGAGGCTGACTCGCTTGCCAGGCTCAGCATCACTGCAAGGGCAGTGGAACAGGGTAAGGATGGGGGACAGCCCTGGCACACCTGGGCTCGTCCTCCCCAGGCTCCATCCTAGCACTAACACAAACCCATGGGGCAGGACCCACCCCGAGACCCCAGGAGTGGTGGCAGAGCCAAGCCCCAGCCGGGATGGTGCCCGGTGAGCCAGGCAGAGGAGGGTGCCCAGCCACAGCACGCACCTGTGTGCCCATCATTTGCCAGCCTCCACGTGCCAGGTGGGGCCTGATCATAGCCCTGGAAAACGATGTCTCCGAGGCCACTGTCCCGCTGCAGCTGGCGCCTGTCGATATTCACAGGGGACTGTTTGTCGCCACCACACGTGGCTTTCAGCTCCTTCCAGTGGCTGGGGCCTGCAGAGGAAGAGCAGGGAAACCACGGGCAGCCACTGCCGCCCCCAGGGGGGACACCAGGCCGGGGGTGGCTGGGTCCCAGCCAGCCCTGCTGTCCCTGCCAGCCCTGACATGCTCGCCTGCATCCCGCAGGAGCTGCTCTCCTGCCCAGCCAACTTTTCTCTCTATTGATGAACAGGGACTTAGTGCAGCCTCATCCATAATTCAGCAGGATTTCCTCACGGGGCTGGGGGCTATATTTAGCCTGGCAGCAGTGTCCATCCCTCTACGTTGCCACTGGTGAAGGGCAGGCTTTTCTCCCAGCCCCTTCTGCCCATCCCTGCAAGCAAACTCTCACTGTGGGGCTGTGCCAACTGTTGTCCCCCCCATGACCCCCAGGCTGGGGCTCACGGCAGGGCTGGGCAGGGAGTTGCACTGAACAGAAGGAGCAATCTAATAAAGTGTCTGCAAGGGAAGGATGGACGAGCTGCTGAGGAGGAGGGATGAAGGACATAAGGCCCATTCACAGAATACATGGTTTGGGTTTTACCACATTTTAGCCTACCCATGCTGGTTTTGTCCGGTTGTGGCAGGTGACAGTGCATCCTGGCCATGCAGCTCACCCTGGGGCAAACCCCACGTGGAGTCCAGCGTGACCACACAGCACCCGTCGGCAGCTCCCAGGGTGGGGAGTCACCGCAGTAGGAGCTGGGTGAGGATGCAGCAATGCTGGCTGGACCCACTGCTAACCCACAATGCTGCCTGGGGGCTGTGAGCAGAGATCCCCACAGCTGCCACCATGGCCGGACCACACACCCCATATGTGTGGCTCGCTCATCAGCCCAGCACCATCTCTTTTTACAACACTCGTTGCGGTCCACAGCTGTGGGATGTAGCTGGCCATCCTGCTGGTCACTGCTCCAGTGTGGCTTGCTGTGACATCCCGCTCCTTTTCCTGGTGGCCCCGGGCCAGCCCGAGCTGCAGGTGCTCAGGATGAAGGTTGGGCTGGGCTGCAGTCCCATCCAGGGAATAGAAGCTCCCCCTAGGTCTCCAGCCCTGCCCACCCCAGGCACCCCCAGTCCGGGGGAGCTCAGGGCATCCTTCCACAGGCACCGCTGGCTCTGCTCTGGCACACATTATGGCTGGGCAGCTTTTGGCTGACCCACACACTGTCACCCCCCCATATGCCCTACAACCGGAGCCTGGGGAGGCCATTTCCCCAGCAGTGCCCCATGGTTCAGTTCTTGCATTCACCAACCTTCCTCTTGGGCAGACAAAACCACAAACACACACTCACCCCCACCTCCTGGCCCCCTGGGCTGTCCTATCTCCTTCCCTTCTCGTCTCATTACTCCAGGCAGCTTTTTGCCTGGAAACCCTGGGAGTCTCAGCCTGGTCGTGCTGCTGCCTCACCACCTCCCTGGCACGATGCTACCAGGTGGCCCCACAAATTACCCAGTGCCTTCATTAAGGTACCATTCCCTGCAGCCCTGCTGTGGGCACATGGCCGGCTTCACGCTGCCCAAGCCGCTTCCCACCGGCCTTGCTCCCCTGCTGAAATATGCCCTCGCCGTTGGCCTGATGACGTTAAGTTGATGGTAACACCAAGCATTGGTCCAGCAGGGATAAGTGGAGCCCAGCAATTCACGCTCTCCGGCTACAGCCAATGTGCCACGGCAGCTGGGCACAGGGCATGTAAACCCAAGAGCTATAAAACAGTTGGGCCGTAACAGCTGATTAGATGCTCGTTGATCCTTAATTAACCTTTTACAAGCTATTTACATGCCTTGAGACAAAGTGCCCCCAGCCATGCCTCTCGTCCCCAGCGCGGGCAGCAGCTGCCTGCCCAAACGGAGCTGTCCCTCCTCCAGCCGGGCCCCTGAGCCTCAGTCCCCTCCACGCCTGCGCCTGGCTGGGATTGCTAATGGCATGTTTTAAATATGGGATTTAATTTGCTTGAGGTGAAAGGGGAGAGGCTGGTGCTGCCCCAGGAACACCCAGACCTGGCTGGGGTGGGGGGACAGGGACTGAGCTGCTCCCAGGGGCTCAGGTGATTGTATCCAGTCTCTACATCAGCACATCTGAAAGTGAAGCTCCTCTAACCATTCCCGCCTTGGTGTGGTGTGGGTGGATTTGCCCTTTTCCAAGGCACGCTCCCCACTGTGGCCTCGCTGATGCTGCCTAGGGTGCCCTCAGCCAGGCGCTGTGGGGAGACACAGGGGTCCGAGCCCCACACAGCCCCGATACCCTGCACCCCACACATGGCACCACTCACCGCATTTGGGGTCCTGTGAGTCGTAACACCACTGCCCTGTGGGAGAGAGGAGAGCTCAGGGCAGGTGATGGTAGAGACAGGCACCCACTCCCAGACCCTTCCCCCCCCCAGTAGTGAGGGCACCCCTCATCGCAGTCAGGGTCCTGCCGGCACTTGTGTTCATCCCGGTTATTCTTGGCACTGGTGTTTTCGCACCCTCCCTACCTCCCCCGGCCGCTCCGCAGGGAAACCTCCCTCAGTATCACTCTGCTCCGCTCCAAGGCGACCAAAGCTCGCTGCTCGCAGTGCTCCTTTCCCAGCTGCTGTGGGGCCATCCCCTCCTTACCCACCCTGGGGAGTCAAGGCAGACCCTCGCTCCACACCAGACACCTTGCCCGCCCTCCAGCAGCCCTGGGTGAGTGGGGAGCAGAGGGGGGGGCTGCTGCAGCCCTCCCCTGGTGCTTTCTGCAGCTCCCGGTGGGTGGGCTGGCAGCAGAAGGCGGTTGCTGGGGGCTGCAGCAGGCAGGAGGTGGTGGTGGGCAGGCCTCTGCCCACACTGCGGGGACAACGGCTCACCCCGTCACTCAGCCCCATCACTCAGGGCCACCTCAGCCAGAGCTGCCGAACTCCCACCAGCACTGCTGCCTGCACTCGGGGCGGCTACAGGACCACGCACTCGATGCTGGGTGCCAGTGCAGCAGACGTGGGGATGCCAAGGAGATGCCGAGGAAACTGGAGCCCTGCTCCTGCTGTCTGCACATCCACCCAGGACCACTGGTTCTGCAATGGGAGCCAGGGAGCACACCCCTCATCAGCTCACATCCTTCCTCAGCTCCCTGTCCTGCTCCTGACAGGAGGCACAGAGCAACCCGGTGCTGCCTGGGGCCAGCCTACACAAAAGGTCCCCACTGCTGGCCGAGGGGACGTGCCAATGGGGCCAGCTGCAGGTGAGCTGAGCCACGCTCTCATGGCAGCCACAACCACTTGGACCAGCAGGACGAAGGCAGCGCTGCCTGCCTCCACCTGTGCTGCCCGTTGCCCCAGCCTGCAGCACCACACCCCAGTCCTCGCTATGGCTGTACAGGAGACACCAGCCCCGGAGGAGAGCTGGGAGCAGGACGATACAGGACTCAGGAGTGTCCCCAGGGCAGGGACCTCAAGATTTCCTCCCTGCCCAGGGGGTGGCCAAGCTCCTGGGAGACCCTTGGATCCGCACCCACCAGACCTCGCCTGACCTCAAGCATCCTCTGGCAGGAGCCAAGCCTGGCCCAAAGACAGGTGAGCACCCCAGCACCTCAGTCCTGGGACAGCAGTGCCAGTTTGCTCAGAGGTTTCATCCTCATTGGTGTCTCCCAGTGGTGCAGGTCTGTGGAGTGGGTGGGCTGAAGCCCAAGATCCGAATTACCCCAAGGGGAGCCTGACCTAGACACCTCCTGCCAGGTCAGGTAGCCCCAGGAGGGCTGAGACCTCCCTGAGCCTGGCAGCACAGCGGGGACATCCACCAGTGGGGAGGAGGATGGTGGGAGGGCAGGAGGATAGTGAAAGGGCTGGAGATGGCTCCTGGGCCAGACCAGATCCCCCAGTCCCTGCCTCCAGCCCTACTGGTGCAGCTCCCCCCATCCCCGCATCACTCCCCCAGCATGTGGGAAAAGGAAAGGAATAAACAGGACTGGCACAGGCGCACCCCAGCCCCACACCCCGCAACCCCTCATCCTCTCCCACCGCAGGGACCCGCTGTCCCCTCCGGCCACCCCAGACACATGCAGTTGCTAATTACCTTCCCAAGAAAATGCATTTTAAGCTGGTAGGAGCTTACAGCATAAAGCTGCCCAGCAATGCCCCTGCCACAACATCCAAGTGTCCATGCTGACAGCTGCCCCCTGTCAAAGTGTGTCCCCAGGGAGCAGCAGTGAACCGCTCTGCTCCAGACACTCCTGGTGTCTTCCAGCAGCCACAGCATCGCCCCTGTCCCCAGGCAACAAGAGGGCAGGAGGGAAGGGCAAGTGGTATCTGCACAGGATCTTGCAGCATCAACACGGTCCCTGCCAGACCGAGTCCCTCCAAACACTCATGACATCAGGCAACTGCTACAGAGACACGTTTGTCCCCGAGACCAGCAGCAAAGGAAGGTCTGTGTCCCATTGCCTGCAGCTGAACCAGCATCTCGTGGCCCGGAGCAGAGATGAAGCTCTGGGAACTGTGTTGGTCCAGGTCCAGCAGCGATGGAGGCGGCTGCGGTGGCAGCTGCCCTCTGCGGGCACAGGAAAGGGAGAGCAGAGCCCTCCACGGCACCCGCGGTGACAATGACACTGCACGCTGGATGGCATTCAGCAATGCGGCCACGAGCAGGGCACGGGGACAGCCCAGCAATGCTGCGGGGACTTGTTCTGCAGCACTCCCAGCAAACACTGCAAGCCCAGCAGCTCACAAGAAAGCAGTGAAGGTTTCTAGGACCTGAGCTCCCAACTCGGGAGTGTGGGTAGGCGTCACCAGGGCCAGGACTGCACTTGTGAAAAGGAGCTGCCACTCTTTCCCTGCACCCAAAACCAGTCCCTCTCATGGCAGGCTGGGATCATGAGGCCAATTTTTAGTTTTTAACTACTTCCCCCAGGCAAAGTGAATTTGGCTCTGGAAAATCCAATTCCAGGACTTGTACTGCAGGCCACCCAGTGAGCTGTCACCAGGACAGGGGTGAGGGGCTCTGTAGCACCGCACCCACTGCCCCAGGTGCTCAGAAGAGGCAGGGGTAGGTGCCAGTAGCACAGCTTTGCCCACTCCGAAGGGACGCATCTCTCAACCAGCACGCTGAACACACCCATGTTTGGAATCTCAAGTTGTGTTGCTATG